AGAACATGCAAACTCCACACAGAAAGACCCCGGCCTGATGTTGGAATTGAACTCAGGACCTTCTTGCTGTGCGGCAACAGTGCTAACCACCGTGCCACCCGTGGCCATGGTATATAAACATATGCAATATATACATATTGTCCTGCATGAGGCAGGATTCTCAAGTCCTTTATATCTATTTACATGTATGCACTGGATGCAAAACTCAGCTTTGCACCAAACATAGTAAACATTTGTAACAGGATTCTTAATACAATACCTTAAAGAACAAAAATACTTTTCGTTTGCATACCTTTCAGGGCAAAACTCTCTATAAACGTAATTCTACATTAGTGGAACTTCAAAATAATTTGGGTCCAAAACGTTCCAGTTCTAGCATACCAGTCGTATCTGGCTCAGGACTTTTTTTTTTCTCTTCCACCAAATTATTCCTCCTTTTTTATTACCTCACTGATGAACTCATAAAATGCTCAAAAGAACAACTCAAAATCTTCTTTTGATTAATAGAAATAAGGAAGAATCTCTAAAGTAAAAATCAACAATCATCAGCATTGGGATAGTACCTGAGACGAATTACCCTTCCGATATATTCAAAGCAAACATCAAAAGTCACAGTCAGAGTCAATGCAGAGATACAGACAGTCTCTCTTTTTATATCACAGATGAGAGTCCTGTCTAGATCAGCTGTCCTCTGGGGTGTAGAATAATGGAATTGTTACTTGGCTTGGGCCTGATGGCCCCATTGCTGTAGTCAAAGTAATTCTTGAGAGTCTGTGATAACTGGTAGGGGCTCCCATCTTCGTCACTGTCGTGTCCTTCAGACTGTGTGGGAGCCCAGTCCTCTCTCTCCCTGGGCTGGCAGGCGTCTGGTTCTCTGGGCCCGCTGCTGTCATCCTGCTGAGCCTTCAGAGGAACCAAAGATGAAGGAAGACCTGAGTCCTGGTAGAAACAGTATAAAAATAGAATACAGTTTTTCCTGATTTGTCCTGAAAGTTACCAATATTAAGGAGGACCTATTATGCCTTTAACATTTTCTCTCAAATACACAGTTACAACAGTTAATGTTGAAACTGAAGTTTTAAACACTGAGTTCAGCAAGCCAAAACCTCAGGGTTCAATCTGCCCTACCACTTAGTTTCACACTGTTTATTCTAGTTTTGGCTCTGTATGATCAGCCAATCAGATGAAAGTTGGCTAGGAGATGGTGGCCTTATGAAAATGGCTAAAATAGATTGCTCCATAAAGAGGATAAACTGTGAGTCAGACAAAACTATTTTACTGGAGTCCAAGAATACATATTTAGTTGGAAATGAGCATCATAGGTCCCCTTTATATAACCAAAGAATTGAAGTTGGACTGAAAAAGGCACAGAGGGGATAAAACTGGGTTGATGATACTTGCACTAAAAATCCAAATTCAAGCTGGATAATCTGTAGATAAACTTTATATTTCTACCAAAACTGTCTATGGGATCAGTGAAAACCAGCTTATTGAGGTAGAAGTCTAGATTTAAAAAAAGAAAAGAAAAAAAGCTCCTAACACAACATGGACCATATCCTACCATCCAATATTTCTTATGACATTTTTTGTGGTAATAATTGCTAGGAGAGAATGCACACTGGTATTCAATCTCTTTTGTATGAAACCTCTAAGTGAAGCTTTGGTCGTGACGACATCGGATTGTAATCCAGATTTAACAAAACAGTCATGTTTACATTCCTGATCCTGTTTCTAAATAAATCCAATAAAGCGTCATCATTTGTAGAAGACAGGAACAATTATAAAGTGGCTAAAAAAACAGATGACGTTTCTTGCTGTTGTTTCCTAGATTGTTTCCTGTCATCCGAATCCCTTTTGTTTTGAGTCCTTCACCCGTCTTTATGTCACACACCACGTCACCCACAGTGACGACGCAAACCCAGCAATAAATACAGCATGCCGTTACCATATGATACATTACAAACAAATCTAAACACATTTCAAACTTAATCTCTCAGACGCTGACACATACCAGTGACATGTTGCTACTGCTCTTCACGTATGACTCCACCCTCTTCCTTTGCGCCTCCTTCCCTCCGTCAACCTCCACTCCTCCTGGAATATCGCTGCCTTCACACCAGATGACCGGACGTCCCAGTTCATCCAGTTCTACGTCTCCTGGCCCCCACCTCCCACCCAGAGTGGAATGGGTGTGCTCCTGTAGGCAGGGAGAGGACATTCAATGTAATGATAAAGTGCAAATCTGAGACAAGATCTTAAAGCATTTTATTTTGAAAAAACCTTCAACATTAGAAAGAAGAAGCTATATGAACAATTCCTTAGAGACAGCGCAGGCAGAACCAAGATCAGCAGTATTCTCCCTCTACCTGGATATATTTCATCACAGTGAGACACTCACCAGAGACATTTGGCTGTTTTTCATTCGGCTGTCTATTCTGAGCATAGAGTCTTCACCCTGGAGAAAAATAGAAAGTCGCAAAAAAATTAGTGAACCTGAACACGAAGAGGAATATAACAAACCGCCAAAAATTAGATATTAATGATATGTGTCTATGAACGCTGCACGTTTCAGTGTTGTTTGAAGCTGCAGCAGCCTGTAATCATCAGCCTGAGCTGCCAGCGGCTCCAACCGAGCAGGACAGGTGTGTCAACCTGGCTTCCTTCAAGCTTGCATGTTATTGTTGTCAGCAGGAGAGTGTGTGTGTCTGTCTGTGTGCGTATTCCTACCTGGTATCTGAAGTCTGTGCTGGTAGAGTTTATTCTCCTGAAAGAGGCTTGCCTAGAGAAACTCCTAATTTCATCCCTGGGAGAAAAAAATAAAAACCACACACACATTTTGAGGATTTATGGAAAACCTGCATGTTCACAAAATAGATCAGTTTAAATCCCAGTTGAAGTTATTAATAAAAGCCTTCTTTAACAATATGTGCTCACGATTTTTCAGATAGTTGTCTCTTAAGCTTGTTCGTTCTACGTCGATGATGGCGGTGAACCACCAAGATGATGATGATCAGGAGGAGGATTACACCTCCGGTGGAGGCACAAATTATGATCAGCAGCAGGTTATCAGGAGGGGTTTCACCAATGCGCCATTGCATCTCTAAAAAAATATAAAAAGATGAAAAGATCCGATGACTCTCTCGCATATAAATACATTCAACAACAACACAGCTACATCTTTCCTTTAATATTTTTTTTGTAATCCAAACTGAGTTCAACTGTTAATGCCTTGTATCTAACAAGAGGGGGCAGCAAATGTTCAAAATTACACCAACTCAGAAGGAGTTTGGCAAATAAGTCTAAATTTCCACCTGCAAAAACATCAACAAAGCTCACAGCAGCAGAACAGTTTCTCCATTAAATCCCATGAAAATGTATGCAAAATTAGCTTTATTGCACTTACCATCTATATTGAGCATATACTCAGTTTTTCCCCTTCCCACACTGTTCGTGACCATGCACTCGTAGGCCCCACTGTCACTCAAGTGAACGGGCCGCTGAAAGAGGAGCTTCCCTCCAACCACAGACACCCCGTCAGGCAGAGCTCCCCCTTTCCTGCAAGCAATCAAAAGAAAAATGTTACCATTAACTTGCAGATGTCACAAAGAGGTGAACTACGCAGAATTCTGTGACTCACTGTTTGAAACAACAGCTGTGACTCATAGCTGCAAACGACAAAATGAAAGGAGCAGAGTTCAAACCAGAGAGCTGGAAATATACAAATATCTAATGACGTTTGCTTGCAAGTAACAGGAAAAATGCAAAAACTGGTTTGAATCAAGGAAGTTATCCGCTTAGTAAACACTCTGAAGGATCAGGTTCATCACAGAGCGAAACCACCTGAACCAAAGCATGCAGGGCTCATCTGTATAAACCAGGTAAATACTAGGTTTGGGGGATTGAAACAAGCCCAACTTCTGAGCCCTAAATTGTACAGGCCACATAATAGAGGCAGTTTCTGATCAGGTCCACTGAGAGGGGTCATATTCCCCCCTGGTTTCACTGTGCTCCACCAGCTATTTAACTACTGCTTTACCCCCCCGTCAAAGTCGCCCCGGCTCAGATTTCTTTTCTCAACACCCCGCCTAGCTTCTCTGACCAGCCTTTTCTAAATCGAGTCACAGGTGGAGATTGCATCTGACACAGCGAGGATGGTGGAAATGATACAGATAAGGTGTGCAATACAGCTTCACTGGCCAAAAAGATTCTAATCTCTCCCGTGACTTATTCTTTTTGTGACTTACCACAGTATCAGTGCAATGAAGCAAAGACCTATTGTGAAATGACTGAAACTAGAGTAGTACAATATAGTTTCACTACATGAGTTATACATAAAAACATATTGTGAAACTACTGCCACTTTTTTTTAATCAAAACTGAGGATAAGAACGTAGCTGGCCTCAATAGTGCCAAAAGGTAAAAGTAAAAGTTTACTAGATAAAGCAAATTACATGTTTTATGGTATTATCTGTTACACTTAACAATGACTTTGTCTTTGGAGCAACGTAAAGCAGCTATAAGAAGATCAAGAAAGGTATTTGTGAATTTGATACACATTCTATATTTTTAGGGTTGCTCTGATTAATAAAATATGCACTCATCTGCCACTTTATTAGGTATACCTTGTTAGTACTGGTTGGATGGCCCCTTTTCTCCTCATAAGAGATTGAACAAGATTCTGGAAACACTGTTCAGAGATTTGGGTCCATATTCCCATGACAGCATCACACAGCTGCTGAAGATCTTTGGGCTGCACATACAGTATTATGCCTAAGTTGGAGGTAGGTGTGATAAAAATGCTGTAAACAAAGAATGCTTTCAGAAGTATAAATAATTGTTTATTGGCCCCAAATGTATTCTGCAGCAGGACAACGACCTCAAACATACAGCCAAAGTCATTAAGAGCTATCTTAATGAACAAGAAGTACTGGAAGTGATGGTGGTGGGTATGGCCCCCACAGAGCCCTGATATCAACATCATCAAGTATGTTTAGGATTACATGAAGAGACAGAAGGATGTGAGGAAGCTTACATCCACAGAAGAGCTGTAGTTAGTTCTCCAAGATGTTTGGAACAACCAACCAGCCGAGTTCCTTCAAAAACTCTGTGCAAGTCTAGCTAGAACAAGGGTAGGCAACTCCAGGCCTCAAGTGCCGGTGTCCTGCAGGTTTTAGAGCTAACCCAGGGTCAACACACCTGAATCAAATGATTAGTTCATTACCAGGCCTCTGGAGAACTTCAAGACATGTTGAGGAGCTAATTTAGCCATTTGAATCCGCTGTGCTGGATCAAGAACACATCTAAAACCCGCAGGACACCAACACTTGAGGCCTGGAGTTGCCCACCCCTGACCTGGAAGAATTTATGATGTTTTGAAGGCAAAGGGTGGTCACACCAAATATTGATTTTATTTAGATTTCTCTTTTGTTCATTCACAGCATTTTGTTGATTGATGAAAATAAATGATTAACACTTCCATCTTTGAAAGCATTCTTTGTTTACAGCATTTCCATCCATCCATTCGCTTCCGCTTAACCTTTTTCAGGGTCGCGGGGGGTGCTGGAGCCTATCCCAGCTGTCATAGGGCGAGAGGTGGGGTACACCCTGGACAGGTCGCAGGGATAACACACAGGGACAGACAACCATTCACACTCACATTCACACCTATGGCAATTTGGATTTTTCAATTAACCTATCCCCACAAAGTGCATGTTTTTGGACTGTGGGAGGAAGTCGGAGTACCCAGGGAGAACCCACGCAAACACGGGGAGGACATGCAAACTCCACACAGAAAGGCCCTGCTGGCCTTATGGTGGAATTGAACTCAGGACCTTCTTGCTGTGCGGCAACAGTGCTAACCACCGTGCCACCGTGCTGCCTGTTTACAGCATTTTTTCTGCCTAAAACTTTTAACAGTACTGTACATGCTGTGACTCTCCTACATCCACTACATCATGGAGATGGAGCGAGTGGATATTTGTACAGGAGTGGCACCCAGGCTGGTCTTCTGCTGCTCTAGTCCAATAGTATTGTGCATTAAAAGATGCTCTTCTGCATATGCTGATTGTAACAAGTGCTTATTTGAGTTACTGTTCCCTTCCTATCAGCTCAAAGCAGTCTAGCCATTCTCATCTGACCTCTGACATCAACACGGGATTTTCACCCAGAGAATTGACACCCACATGACCATCTCTGTAAGCTCTACAGATGGCCTCTTGAGAAAAATAGATCCACTATTTCTCAAATAGTCTGGCTTGCACCCTCAGCTATTCCACACTCAGAGTCAGTGAGACATTGTGGGAAAATGCACAGGTTGCTGATAAAATTGTTATGTTAAATGTTATCTGCCAATTCATATAAAAGGGGAACCAAGAATTTAGCATTAAGACTCAACACACAGAAACAGCTAGCATGACTTCTTATATTTAAAGCTGAAATGATAGTTTATTTATTCCACACATGGCTTACGTGTAGGATCATTTCCTTAGTCAACAATCTTTTACATAACCCCACTAAATGAGAAATTGCTTCCTTTACACAGTGTTTTCAACGCAGATTAAACTACAGATTTGTTCTGTGAATGCTTACATGGAGACACCAGCAGTCAGCCACTCATATTGACTATTGGTTGTATTTTTATATATTTACATTGTTAAAAAGCAAACAAGGGGGGAAAAAAGTCAACATTTCAAAACGTTTACTGACATTATAACTAAAATTAATCAGTGGAGAGGTTGAAACTAGCACAACTTTAATATTTCAAGATTGCCTCATGACCCGAATATTTTTCACTCAGCAAAAAACATTTGATCACTGTGTGCACAGGGAGAACTGTAATGGCTGGCGTCTTTAATTAAAGTACAGACCCAGTGTTTTACCAGGCATTAGAGTGATATTTAAAGCATGGCACTATGATTAAACGCTTAGCATGTGTCTCCTGCTCTTCCTTGTGTCGCTCACTCCCTCCCTCGTGTGAAACACAATCTTCTAACTTCAAATTTCGCAATGCGACACCGCACCTTTTATTCAGCAGTGATTTGAGCCAGCAGAGGATAGGAACCCCCCCCCCTTTTAGATGGGAGCGCACTCCTTTGTTGTTTGCAGGTGTGTACTCCATGTGTATGCGTGTTAGCAGTGGCTTATCTATGTTTTGACTAACATTCCAGTGCCATGTAAAATGAACATTAGCAGCATAAATAGTATTAGAAAGGGGGTAGGTGGGATTTAACATGATATCATCATAGTGTTGTAGACTGCCAGAGTGACAGATGTGTATGTGAAAATGCAGAAAGTACCACGTCCAGGTGAAGTTTTGAGGTTTGGGGTGTCCCCTGCCTTCGCACGCCAGCTCAGCTTTCTCCAAACCCACATACCAACGAGATGAGGACGTCGTGATCGTAGCATCTGGGGGGTCTGACACAGAAACACAAATACTAAGTAAGCAGCATCACAACCTAGTGTCTCCTATGCTGCATAATAGATCAAATAGAGAACTTTGTAGAGCAGCAGAGAAGATACAAAGAAGTTTGTTTGCACCATAAACACAGCAGATGAAGTTATTTCCTCCTCTTAAATCTACAAAAAGATTTTCGCAAGTCTCAAAATTTCAAATGTTATCTGGGAGGTTTGGAGTCATTACTAAGCGTATTGAGCACCAGTTCAGTGATTTTAACAGTGAGTACATAATATTAGCAGAAAACTTAAGCTTGAAACCTTGTATTTAATCCCATTTTAAAAGCAAGGTGGCACAGCTCACACCCACACCTTTAACATATGTACTTCAAATCAGACAAAGAGGAATTGTTGGAACAATTAAAGTTTTGGCACAGTTATACAGTAACAGTAGTCAAGGACAGACTATTACTGATAAACTTTCCCGCCGCAGGATCAAATCTGCCAATAGTAGCTAATATTTACCCAGCTCTTTGATCTCAAAGACTGACAGTTAAGCCTTATAAATATAATTTGCTGGGCAACTAGAGTCAAAAATATCTAATTGGCTTACGTTCCCATTAAAGGGAAGAGCTTAAAATTTGGCCCATAGCCCAGCAAAGAGCAACTGCAGTGTCATTCCATACAGCATACTGATAAGTATGAGCTGATTTAGTTTGCATGCTGAATGCAGCTCTGTCTTTCCCACCACAACACACTCACAAAAAAATTTGTCATTAAGGTGGTACTCAAAGATACAAAGAATGAAAACATGCTGAAGAAAGTGCAGGAATCCTCCAGGTTATAAAGAATAAATTTAATATTTTGAAAATTGTAACTGAAAGTAAGTTTTGCTCAGATGCATGAAGTTATCAGTGATAGACTGATGTTTGGCAGACCATCCACATAATGCTCCTTTTATACTACAGCACCATAATATCTTCATTTATGTAATGTTATTAATATATACAGGTAGTATACATACTGTACTCAAGTATTAATTTTATGGGAGAATTTGGCAGTATCAAAAATGGTTATAGAACTTTAACTTCTCGAGTATAAAATATAAAAACCTTTAAAAATGTAATATTTTTATTGATTTCAATGCCGACATTTTGACACCATTAGAGGAAAAACATGGGCGTGGTTAGTACTGTTAGTTATAGCTGTGTTGCAAGTGTTAGTCTTCGGAGTTGTTCAAACATAAATATTAACTTAGTGGCTTCGTATCGTCGCAAACACACCTACATAAAAGGGACGGGACCAACTTATTAGGTGACCTCGTGATATTCTTGGTATGGGCTGAATATTTAACAAGTGTCCATTTGAAGTGAATATTATTATTTTGGATGAGATGTAGAAGAAATGTTGGTTTTTTTTAATCTAATACTTTTTTGTCATTTGGGAGTATTCATAGTTTCTACAATACTATAAGAAATGTGCAAAAAACATGATTGTAATGTTTTAATTTGCCATGTTACCTTCTATAACTGGCATTACTGCTGTTATGCATTCAAATTTCCGCTTTTAAAACATCAGCGTATGCTGGTTTAAGTAGTAACCTATAAATATTTAACAGCAGAGGGAAGAAGGATTAAATCGCGATATGTCGAGGATCAGCGCAAAGCTTCAAGTGAAAGGAGAAAGGTGGGACTATAAAAACAGAGTTTAAGAAATCTGAGAGTAAAAACACTTATGTCATTTTTACCTTTATTTGTTCTTGTTATTAGCTAAAAAGCCAGGCGTGTCCCAGTTCTTTACATATTCTATATGAGCATATAGTTTGCACTAAACAGCATAAGTGTAGTAATTTAAAACCCTTTGCAGTGACGTACACTGCTTCATACAATGCAAGGTTACAGAGTATCTATTTACAGCTGCAAAACACAGCAAAACAAAATGATGCGTGATGATCTACTAATTAAATTAGTAAACAGTAGGAGGTCCAGGCATTTATTAGGCATCAGCCACCACTACACGTGACCTTTGTGTAGTACATGTGCAAATTAGTTACTGACGAATGTCAAGATAAATTATTTCATGTTGTTTTAAAACTTTCATGGTTAATTGACTAAAACTGCTTTCAATACCCACACCCTTCGCTCTCTGGTTTCTGCAAGACATGTGTCTGATGGATGGACAGTGTATACAAAGCCAAAGCTCACATTCCTGCACTTTCCCATGAAGGAAGTTTGAAGTGAGACATTTGTTTCAGACAAGGGGAAGAAAAAAAAAAGGTCACCGCCATAGCGCTTTTGTCACTGTCGCAGTATCAGTGAGCGACTCGGTGGTGACAGTTTCGCTGGCAACGATCCACCACGACTGATCCTACTGGTGATTTAAGACGTCTGATCAATGCTCGAGCTTGGTGTGCTGTATGTTAAGGCTAAATTATAGAGATGTATCTTGTATGGAGACAGAATTTTCTACCACATAACTTGGTAAAAACAGATAACATTCTAACTTCTCCACATTTTATATTTGCTTGAATAATTTCAGGAAATGTTTTTCTGACTGGCAAGAATGAGCGATGTGTGATTCCCGACCTGTAAAGAATGGAAAGGGGCCAGTGAGGCCAGTGAGAGAGTCACAGAGGGGTATTATACTCTGTGACTTTTCTGGTTCCTTCTATTGTTCTTCCTTGAACCAGCAATATTAATTTCTGCAGTAAAACCCAACTCAGCACTTAAAAATATGATGTTAACGCCACAGCTCCAGTCTGTTTTACTTCTGCTCCACAGCTATACTCACATTGAACCTCCAGGTGGTTGCTGATCCTACGCGGCTCCTCCAGGCCGGGATGCCACACTAAACAGTCCAGCTTTTTCCCGTTCATGCTACGCAGGGGGTGGAGCGAGAAGTAGCTGGACACTGACCCAGTCTCGCTGGTGCGGTTCTG